TCTCAAGGGCCATAGAGAGCTAGGGAAATCAGTAGGAGTGTCAGCACCCTGATAATGGGGCTGGGAAACTACATGGGAAAAGGTATTCCTAAAATATAACCAGCTGAGCTCCTCTGCATAGAAAGAACCTGGAAGTTAAGAGAGCTGACAACTGAACTATGGCATAGTCTGTAACACAGTGTAGATACCTGATCTAGCTGTGAACAACCTGCTGCAGATGCACTGCTTCCAATACCAGAGCTAGCTTGTTCACAGCTACACTGTCTGTAAGACCCTCACCTTATGTGCCACAGAAGTCAAAATGAGCCAAGGAACTGTAACAATGGAAAAAAAAATGATTTCATGATTAAAGCATACAAATGCTCCCTGAAGAATAAGACACTAACCATGCCCCTGCTAAAGTTCCTATGGGACACTAGTCAAGTACCTGAAACCAGTCTTTTCATAGGTGGCCTGTGTGTATCATTTTCTAAGTGACAGATTTAAGACTGTAGAGGTTAGATTTGCATAACTGAGCACTCACAGCTCCAACTGAGGTCAGTGAGAACTGTTACTTTAACACTGAATGCTTTGGGAAAAAAGAAAAAAAAAAAAAAATCAGGTCCTTGGTATCTCCAATTGCACATCGAAAAAAGAAGGGGGTGGTGGAAATCAGTGGATACATATACGTTAACCTCAGTGCCTCAGTTCCATACCAATGAGGAAATTAATCATCCTATCTTCAAGGTTTGAGAAGAAAACACATTAAACATACCCTTATTCAATAAATTTCAATTTATGCATGGAAAGGAATAGGGATCCAGTGGAAAAAGCAGTCAGACAATTAAAGCCTGCATTATGACGTATATGCACATTATAATATGCATATGATGAATTAATTTGTACAGGCCACATTATTTTGGCAGTTCCCAAGTTTGAATACCTGCAATTGCAACTTTATATCTTATTTCAATCCAGTTTACTGTGGCTGTGTCTACATGAGACGCTGACTGCGCAGTCATTATTGCACAGTCACTTAGTACTTGTATAAACAAGTACTAAATAACTGTGCGGCAGCTGGAGTTACTGCACAGTAGCATCACCGAATGGCTTTTAGGTGACACTGACTGTGCAATAGCTTATTACTACTGTGCAGTAGCATTGAATCACACTTCCTGCCATGTGATGCTCCTGCACAGTAGTAACGAGCTATTGCGTAGTCAGTGTCTCATGTAGATGTGGCTTGTATCTACTTCCCTGGGTTCTGCTGAGGAAAAAAAAAATTAAGATTCATCATGTTACACCAGTGATTCTTAAGCTTGGTACCATGAGATCCTTTTAAATAATGCTACAGCATTCCATGAAATATTAGCAGTTAGGCATGCAAACACCTACATGATTCACAAGATAAACCCAGAAATTTCAAATGGGAACCCAGTGTCAAAAACATTCTGATGTTTTAGTCTGAGATCTTTCCAACAAAGATCTACTCTTCCACCCCTATTTCCCTTCCCCAAGCTCCACCCTCCACTGGCTCTTAACCCCTTCACCTACACATGAGAAAAACAGTCCTGGAAATCAAGAGACAGATGAACTCATTTGAAAATTTAGCTGCCAAAACACTAACAAATGTCTCCAAAACATGCATGAATCAAGGTTTTCCAACAGTCATGCCTCTATCACATTTAAAGTGCCTGCCACATAGTAAAGACACTAACGCATCTCAATTAAGCTGCTGTAGTGTCTTTTTTTTTTTTAAGTGAGGGCAAAAAGATGAATTTGTCCTTAAACATGTTCTTGGAACTAGATGTACTAGTTTTGCACAATTTTAAAAAGCCACATACATAGCCTGAAGCAGATGACCTAGCATAAAAAACTTCATTCCAAACTGCTAAAAGTTGGCAAATGTATAAATCAACTGAAAGCAACATGTTATAATGGGGAGTATGTATCTAGTCTTATGTAGAGGAGGTTGTAAGTATTCTATTTATAATGTTAATTTAAGAGAGATTGTGACAGAGTCAATTCACATGACCTTTAGTTTGATGTTAATAATCTATTCTAAAATGTTTTCACATCAACCAATGCTATTATCCTCCATGAAGGTCTTTAAATAAATGCCTGTAATACTTACATTTGGCAGACAAATATTTACAAACTTGTGAATTAAAGAAGCCCCTCTTAGTAGGATTCTTCAGCTATATGAAGAAGATGCATGAGGAGTTAAAACACTCAAAAGATACCAACATTTTCTAGAAATGCAAAACTTAAAAAAATGTATAAGACAGTATACTTGACTGTAGTCTCTAAAAAGTTATGCTTTCTATAATGGTAACTTGATCAATGCATTAAAAAATGTCCTGAGTGGTTCAGAAGACTATATAAAGGTACAATAAACCTAAATCCTCATTTTTTTAAAACTAGCTATTAGTAGTTGATCATGCGAGTCCAGTAAATAATCAACATTTGAACACCTACATCACAGAAATTGTTTGTAATATTTTATACCCTATATCAAATTTTATAATTTTTTTTATTTACAAAAACATCCATATATCAACTCAGGCTGCTAGAAGTTATTTTGCTGCAGCAGTGAATTGTCATCAGTATGCAGGCTCTGTCTGGTTACCCTGCAACATGCCACACTGAAGCAGTCTAAGTGGTAGACTCTTTCACAAGTTAGTGTTAAAAAGCTAAGCAAGTCCCACAGTGCTTCCATTCTCCACACTACAGTGTTTGTTTTAAAACTAAGACTGAAATTTGAATTTCAGTCTCTTCATGAAGGAAAAGCAGCTCTCTTAAGTTTGAAGTACCTGGTGAATTAACACAATCTTGAATTTGCATATGTACATGCACATATGTTTCAATTCAAATCCACTCCCGTAACTACTATATCTATCCAAAGCCAAGAAGACTGAATATAAAAGATAACACTATTCAATATATTCTATGCATAGGAAATGTATTCGTTATAATTTTCCATGTATAGAATTTCATTATTGAAGCTGACCCTGCAGTGTGTCCCCCCCCACCACTGCAGCAAGAAAAGCAAGGCAGAGGGAGGCAGGTGATGGGTAGGGGGAAGAGGATAAGCTTGGCACGCAGCCCAGCCCCTGCTCTTTTGCCCCCTGCCAGACCTTGCCCCCTGCCAGACCCTGCCCCTCAGCACCTGCACCTCCACACACCCCTGACATCTGCATGCTCTGGCACCTGAATTTTAGCCCCCCTTCCCTCCCCGGCTCCAGTCCTGCCCTGGTCCAACCTGGTCACACAGCTATTGTGGTAGTAGTAACTCTGTCTGGGTCCTGGAGCCACAGCCTGGGCTGGAAATGGCACTATCATCAACATTACCAGGCCAGGCTGGAGTGGAGCCATGGCTGAGCTATAGCCAGAGGGTAAGCAATGGAGGCAGAGACAGCAGAGGCAGCAGCTAACACATCCTGGGCTACGGCCAGTCAAGAGCCACAGTAGCTGGCCATCCTCCTCCCCCACAACCCCATACTCAAATCCAAGAAGGGAACTTTTTTCTCCATGTTAAATAAGGGGTGGGAAAACCTCCTTTTTGATTAAAATAAATACAGTACACACATAGCTCTTTAGGAAAATCCTCAGATCATGTCTAGATGACAAGTTTGGCAAGCCTGGCAATGATACCCTAAAATATGCTGCATGAATCCAAATCTGAACCTGTAGTCCCTTCCCCTACCTTCCTATGATCCTAAGTGTGTTACCCTCTACAACCAGTAGAGCTGCATTCATGTGCACCAAAATCAGGCTAATTAACACGGCTGAGGGGCAGTGCCATTTAGCCTACCCCCATCACCACATGGCCTACTGTATCCTACTTCTAGTTGGACCGAGGTTGTGCGCATGTTGCAGTGCTCTCATTTGTGAGTGCCACTGCCAGACATAGTAACTGTGTGATCTAGACACAGCCTTAATCACACACCAGTGAAAAAAAACCCACAAAATGACATAAAACATCCACAGAGAACTTCAGTGTATACACCAAAAAGATCTAGAGGTCAAGATTAAAAGTCTGTTGAGAGCAAAGCTGCTCTTAGTCACCACTCACTGGGGTGAGAACAGAAAAATCAGATCACTCAATACATTTTGGAACTTCAGACACTTATTTAAAAAAAAGTCTCCTGGGCCAAGTAAATATTAACTCAACACATCCAGAAAGGCATAAAAAATGATGCCAAGCAATCTGTCAATGCTAAAACTTTTTACAGGGAGACCCAAAGAGGAAGCTTCTATTAAATGAACGTACTTGAATAATTTTCCTGATTTATAAATATTTAAACACTGAAAAATTTCATATGAAATATGCTAACACTCATTACCTTATAAAAATGAATCATGGGTTTCAATCTGTTCCCACCCACATCAGTAAGAGGCTTACCATTACCTTTGCTGGTATCAGAATCAGTCTCCATATTCAGATTTGGTTAACAATGCACCATTCTATAGAAAACCAGCATATGGCCTAAATATAATTTAAGGTCTTACACTGATTTACATGATGACCTTTTGCTGAATTTCACCAGTGATTTCCTACAATATTTGGAAAGCTGAAATCAGATTTCTGGGGTATAATCTTGGCAAAACTTCCACCAACTTATTAAGGACTCCAAGACTTAGTCTACCCCACCTGAACATAGTAATCTCCAAAGGACAGGTTATGACTCAGGCTACAGGCAGGTACACACAGAGAAACAGAAGGCTCCTTAGTCACTTTCACTAGCTATTTCTTTCATCCTCACCAACGGGAATCCTGTGAGGATGTTAATCCCCTTCCCCTTTGTATGGATGAGGAATGGCCAAAGCATGAGTGAAGACAGTTAAGTAATCTATACTTACTAACTGCAGAGATTACTACCCCTCCCCCCCCCACCGAAGACATTATAATCTAATTTCTGGTCTGCTACTACGAGTGCAGGACATCCTACCCCTTTCTCACAGCTTGTGACAGAACATATTTAGAAATTCTATAAATGCTCACAATCATCTGTAAACATAGTTATAGCAAATTTAATGAGAGTCAATACAAATTAGGAATGTTCATCATTCTTAAACACTATATACATTATGAATATTATATATATGCACACATACCGTATATTTTCAACTGATTCCATTCTCAGGCTCAATGTATTAAACACAATTGTAACATGTTTATTAATTTATATGAAAAATACTTCACTAAGAAAGTAGACAAACTGCACAGAAATAGTACAAGTGTCATGTGCATAGCAATATAGCTTAAAGCATTCACATATGGCTTTGTTTAAATGAAACTATTGGGGTATGGCCCTAGTTGGACCAATGGTTACACAGTTGACATAATGTAAACTGCTTCACATCTTTTAGGCACTTGCTAACAATAGTGTTCAATCCCTGAAAACAACAAACTCAAGAACTAAACATCTGAAATTAAAACAAAACAAATCCCAAGGATAATAGCTGTGTGTAGTTGAAAAACCTATAAATCAATTTTAGTAGTGCATGCACAGAACTGAAAGAAGGGCGAGGAAAATTTCTGTGCAAGATTTATAGCAAATAACTGAATATAAAAATATTTACATGTTTAGGTTTCTTAAATATGTACACAACCAAACCCCTGAAGACTTAGTCTAGAGAATAAAAATATAGGACATGATAGTAGTAACAAAAAAAAAATAATAATAATAATATGCAGTTTTATGGAACTGTATTTGCCATTAATTTTATATCTACCCCACAAAGCTCTTTGTTTCTCTAGGTCCAGCATCATCAAAAAAATCCATTCCTCTTTTAAAACAGAACCATTTTGAATTATTTTAAAACTTTATCAGTGATACTAAAATATAAAACAAATAACCTGTGTGTCATAATTTGGCTCTTTAAAAAGGAGTACTGTATGGTAGTTAATTTTTTGCTTTTTTCATTCATTCAGCAACATTATCTAACAAATTCCAATCCCGAGTAGCTTCCATTAGATGTCGCTGGCCATGTCCCACCCAATTATCTTGATTGTCAAATATCCTACCACAAAACCAGCAGCTAAATTTAGCTTTCAGGGTATTATCAGAGGTAGTTTTCACAATCTGATAATTGTTTTTACTTGTCTTTTTCAATGTCAATTTTAACACAAATCTTTCTTTTACAGGACTTATAGGTTTAATCATCCTGTGCCTCTTCTGAGAAAGATTTTCAGTAGTTATGTCCAAAACACTGCAATACGCTGGTTCCAAAAGAGCATCTATAGTTCTCTTTGACAATGAAACCTTAAGAACATGTCCTTTGAATTTACTAATTGTTTTCATTACATTGACAACTTCTGGAACATCTGCATCAGGATGGTTCAATACGACAACTGGCTGATTCCTCCGAGGACATTTTACAAGTTGCTTAGAACTAAAAGGAAGTAGTTTTAAAGTTCTCACAGTTTCTTTTGATGCCCTTGGTCTGTGTGGGCCACCTGATTCAGTAATAACTTGAGTCCGATTCTTTTCCTTACATTTCCTGTGCAACATTATTTTTTTTCTAGGGGGCTCTTGAAAATCATCTTTCGTTTTTCGTTTGAAATTCTTTCTTTGTGAAACCACTGCTTCAGAACAAGCTTGTTTTAACCGAGTTTTGACTTTTGAAATTGTGTTTCTGGTGTTCCACGTGGACTTTTGACTGTCAAAACTATTCCCTTTGTTAGCGCTTACACTTTGTCTACAATTAACTGAACATCTCTGCGACCGTGCCCCCATAGGCTTAGTGGAATGTACAGGTTCTGCAGGAAGTACAGAATAAGTTGAATTAGAGCTTGCCAAAGAGGCATTTGCTGGCATCAATCTACCTGGTAAGAATAAGGCATCGCTAGAAGAAAGAAGAGTTTGTCTCTGTGCTAGTGCAGGATTTTTATGAGACTGCGTGCTCTCCAATTGTAGCGAGGGCACCGATTTGCTGGTTGACTGACTTATACCAGCCATTACATTAGAAGTTTTTATTTTCAGCAAAAGCTTTTGTTGCATGGCTCCAGTTGTTTTCTTTGGTTGACAGTTTTGATTATAAGCATTATCTTGAAAAACATCACATACTGCAGGATTGTTTGGTGTCATACATTTTAGAAAAACTGCTTGTCGTCCATCGGGCAATAGTGCATAGACTGGTTGTTCCTCTTGGTTCCCCCTTTTCACTGACTCAAAGGAACCAAACACAGCATCTTTATGTTCTGGCAACATTTTTACAGAAGAAAATCTTTTCACAGATGAATCAGGTGAATTTGTAATGACAAGAGGCTCTCTGAATGGCATACTATTTGATGAACCATTTACTACCCCATCAGGTGCATTGCTAACGCTACAGGAATTCCGAAGGTTTCTAAAACTATTATTTTTTGCATCCGTCTTTGAAGATGGTGTTATTTTACTAGACTCTTTAGATGCAACTCTCTCCAAAACCTGAGAACTATCACTGGCGACATTTGCAACTGCTCCAAATTTCCCACTAAATGTCAGTATCATTCCAGGTCCTTTATTTAAAACAAAGGATGCAGGTATACCTTTATTTGTCTGAATATCAGATGAACTGGTTGATGGAAGAGCTTTTCCTGAAACAACTTGTAATCCTGGCTGGTTAGCAAGATGCAAAGGTACAAAATATCCTGCTGGAGGTGACTGAACCAAAAGCGTTTTCTTCTGTTCTGGAAGAATTGATGAAAAGCTGCTAGGATTTTGGGCTGTAGACCTCAATCTGTCTTTTATCAACTGTCTTGTTATGATTGCGTCTGTGTGATTTTTTAGCAACGCATCAACACCAACAATTCTAGATAAGTTATCTATTTCTTCTGTATTAATCACTGGTGTCCTCCCCTTACCTTCATTTCTTATGCTACTTCTCACATTCAGCTCTCTTTCTGCATTAGCTGGAAGACTGGGTAAACTACATGCACTTACTGAGTCTTTTAAGTGTGTAAATGTTTTAGTACCCAGCTGATGACTCGACAATGACTGGTCACAATGAGGTTTAATGAACTTATTTAACTTACTGTGAGATTCTTGCTGAGTAGTTGTTTTTACTTTTAACACATCTTGTAATAACTGGTTTACTTCAGGGGACAAATAATTAGATGCCTGCTTACTTTGTAATGAGAAAACCGATGTGATCTTAGGCATGAGAGATGAATTAATACAGTCTGAAACATGTTCTGCCTTAGACCTCTCAGCTATGTTTTCTACCTCTGGATTTAAGTGAGTGTCCAAATACTGTTTGTCACCACTGTACTGTTTTTCCATAAAACACTGTCTACCATTAACGCATTCAGACTCATTTTTTGAAGGTAGAGAATTATTCTTAGTGTTTGCATATCCATAAATTCTATCAATATTTGACTGGGATGGCACATTTTTTTCCCAATTTAAGCCCTTTACCAGCTGTGAAAATGAGGATACAGATTCACTTCTCAAGCTGTTTTGCAAAGCAAGTGTTTTGCCATATGCGACTTCTTGAGATTTTTCATCTGTTGACATCCAAATATTTGCAGGATTGTCTGATATGTTCATTTTAGAGTAATTATGAAAAGGCGGTAATCCTTGGTTAAAAGAATCAACTGACGAACAGTAAAGATGATTAGTTCCACTGTTACTGTGCACGCCACCATTCTGTATTTTAAACTCATTAGGGAAGGGCATTTTCATGGGGTCATAGTGAAGTGTATTTGTAATCGTGGGAGACAATACCTGAGGATGACTGTGAGCAATGCAATTCCCCCAGGACAGAACATTATTTCTAGTTCCAACTTTTGTCTTCAAGTCACAGGGAGGTGCAGCTGAACCCAGCTTCACTGGCAATTGAGCTGAACTTCTTCCCACTACTACATCAGGAGGTGCTACAATCTGAGAACTATTCCTACCATATGATAAAGAGTTATTTTGTTTTTCTGTTCTCTGTTTCCCTGAATGAGAGGCAGGAACTGAAAGTGGAAAGGAGGTTAATGTGTGAACAGAATTATTCTTTGGGGTTGGCTGATCAGTCACATATGATGTAGTACTTGAAGACAAGCCAAAAGCATCAGTAGTCTGTAGTAAAGAATCAGATGAGCCATCTTTAACCCCATCAGATTTTTGTGGCAATGAACACAGGTTCTGTTTGTTTGTTGGTAATAGTTTTATTACAATATGTTGTTTTCCATCCACCATCTTAAATCCCATGAACTTAGCACTGTAGTTTGCTGGAACGGATATTTTATTGTTTTTCACCATCAGCACTGTAGGTCCATGAACAGCGTTTTTCAATAATCCCAAACTAAAACTTGATCTGTCTTCTATTTTACTATATTGTGCAGTGGTAGGAGACAACGTTCCACTTTGGAAATTATGCTTTTCATTAAGTATAACATGATCCTTTTCTTCACTCACGTGCAGATCTTTTACATACTGGATTGCCTCTTCAGAGTTGGGTTGAATTTTGTTCATATTTCTAAGCACTTGCAGGTTTCTCTCCCCAGTATTGTCACGTCCATGGTTAATTTTCTTCCGTCTCCAGAGCGCCTTCTTTGATGCTCCTGTTTTGTACCGTTTCAAAACAAGTTTTAGCCCTGTTGGAGTTTTTACAATTCCCTTTTCACATTTATCCTTTTCCAGTTTCTCTCTTGCATATAAGTGATCTCTATGCAAGGCTATGACATGTTTTAAAAGGCAATCCTTTCGTGATGCACTGTAGTTGCAATACTGACAACTGTAAGGAAATGAACCAGTATGAACAAGAAGATGCTTCTGGAACTCCCCTTTTGTACAACTTACATGATGGCATTTACCACATTTAAACTGAACTTCATTATGTCTATGAATGTGCTGAACAAATGTCCCCACATCTTGGGTAGAAAATCCACATGTTTCACATTGAAAGTGACCATTTACACAATGCTTTGATGTGAAGTGTTTTGTCAAATCCAACAAGGTATACATTTGCTCATCATTACAAATCTCACATTTTACTAAAGTGCTGCGATGGGTCCGCCGATGTTGTTTAAATGACTGAAAGTCACTAGCTGAAAAATTACACATTTCACAAGGATATGAAGGCAACTCTCCATGATGTAACAGTTGAAAGTGTTTCTGCAGATCATTTGGGCTATATTTAATGTTGTCTCTACATTTTGAACAGGTGAAATTCAGTATTTTTGCTGTAGTTTTCAACCCCTCTTCTTCAAATTGTACTTCTGGTTTCCTTTGCAAGTTGTTACCCTCTGAACAATTTAAGTTACTTCCATTTACTGTTTCTTGACTTAAAGACTTTCTTGCAGTTTGCTGTTTATGCTGAAACAGTTTTCTATATCGATCAACTTCATGTTTCAATACTACTTCATTTGGAATGTTCACTTTGGGTAAATCAATTTTCACATTTTTCAGTTTGTAAGAATAACTGACATCTAAAATTGCTGGTTCAGGCATTATGTTTAAAGTATCATTCACTAGTGCTTTTTCCACAGCATTTTTTCCAGAAAGTTCCTTTGCAGCATCATCTGTTAGCAGAGTTGTTTTTGTACCACAAAAAAAAAGGTCTTTTTCGGATGGCATTGTTTTAAAACATCCCTTTTTCTGTTTTAGGTAGGTTGAGAGATTATTCTTAATTTATGCAGCAGACAAGACTATTGTGCCGAAACCTCTTCAGATTTCTACGAATTTCCCCATTTTAAAAATTACCCTGAAATAAAAAAACAAAACAGCACAATGCATTAATCAGTTTTTAAAAAGCAACGACAACATGCTCTTCATCAAATTATTGAAAAAATACACACAGATCAACACATTATATTTATTTTTATTGCATTAAGTCTTAGAAGTTACCCGTACCAGGCCAAAAGAAAACAAACAAACAAACAAAAAACCTATAAAACATTTTTTTTCTGAAACTTCTCATTAGGTGTATAAGTATTTCAGTATATTAAAAGAAAATCACTACACTGAAAAAAAGGCAGCAAAATACTTTGGTAATCATAACTATAAAAAAGGCAGAGAAAGGCAGCGACTCAGACCAATTCATTCAGAAAGGCATGAGCTAGGCTACAACCTAGGTTGTCAAATATGTTTGTATATTCCTTGTAACAAAGCTTTTGTAAATAGAAGTGGATATTGTATAAGATTCAGAATGTCTCAGAATGCTGCTTAGATACATTCAGATTGTACACATTACTCAAGAAAAGATTAACTCTGGATTCTATCCATAAACAAGAAACAAAAACCCCACAATATTTCTCCTATGAAATGGGTACCGATGATTTTATAAGTACTAAAACTAGTTCAGTGAAATTTGACTCGAAGTGAAAATTATCAGCTTCTGTTATGTGTCCACCTCTCATAGTAGTTGCCAAGTATTATGCTTAGAATGTGAGAACATTTGATCTTAGTGTGTACATGGATTTACGTATGACTATATAGATGGATTTGAAGGCATATATTTATGGCAAAACAAAACTAACCCTTACAAAGCCAGTCTCATAACCAAGCTTCCTCCTAATCCATTCCCCCTACACTCTTTGGAATCTTTTTCTCAGTACTCCTGAACTACTCATTTCAAGACACGGAAGGTCTTCACACAAGATCAGATGGGAAACTCTTCAACCTGTCACAACTTAAAGCAAAGACTAAAGTTCGAAAGCTGCTTGCTTATCAAGGAGCTTCTATTTGCTGATGATGATGCTCTTGTAGGTGTTTGTCGTGGGCTATAAGAAATCATGGATCGCCTTCCAATAGCTTGCCAGGCATTTGCTCTCACTATCAGCATAAAGAAAACAGTTGTGCTAGAACAGGGAGTTCCACAAGATCCAGTCACCCTTAATGAGAACCAGGTAGATGTAGTCCAAAAGTTAAGTTACCTAGGTTCTACAATAACCACAAACCTCATTGAAGAACTTAATGTTCACATCAGAAATTCTGCTGAAGGTGGTGGCAGCCTAACTAAAAGAGCATAGAACAACTCAAAGCTTACCATGAAGACCAAAATGCTACTGTGCAAAGCTTGCGTACTCAGCACTCGTGTATGCTGGGGAAACATGGACAACTTATGCACATCAAGAGAAAAGGTCCAGCTTCCACCTGCACTGTTTACGCCGCATACTCAACATCAAATGGCAAGATAAAGTTACCAACACAAAGGTTCTTCAAAGGGCAAAATTTATCAGGTGTGACAGCCTAACCCAGACAGAGATGACTGTACTGGCTGGGCCATCTGAGCAGATCAGAAGATGGATGTATACCCATGGACATGCTATAGGGGGAACTATCAGAGGGAACAAGGACAACAGGACATCCCAAGCTTCGCTACAAAAATACATGCAAGCAAGATATGAAGACATTTGGAATTGATCCTGACTAATGGGAAACGCTGACAACCAACTGGAACAAGTGGCATCAGTCTCCACCAGGGTATTAGAGTCCACAACAGGAATTCATTCCAAAGGCTTGAAGAGAGAAGAGTCCACAGGAAGTAAGCAGCTCACAAGGCATCCAATCATGACGCATACACTTGTAACCACTGCCACAGATCATGCAAATCTCAGCTTGGACTATTCAGTCGCATGACACACTGCAAGCCATCTACGCCACAGGCTGCAATATCCACCGTCTCTTGCAGATGAGAGGATGCCAGTCATTGGTGTCTCATAACCAAGGCTCCTCCTAAATAAAAAGTTCTTGACGTTGGCAATGTCCATGAACATATTTATCTGGATTAGCAAACTGTAAACTCAGATAGATATGACTAGCATAATGACCTGTTCTACAAAGGCTCTGCATAGGTGCTTCCACAACAAGCTTCAGTAAAAGTATTAAAACAGAAATAAGTTATGGAAGCTCAAGTCCATGCCAAAACATAAGACCTTCCACATGGCAGCATAGTATCTGTTGGGATGGCCTGTCACTGAACATCATTTTCTGTTCTTGAAAGCAAACTGGCAAAGCAAGCAAGTCTGCACCTAACTCTTCCATAACCTATGAAGCTCTTTCTTGCACAGACCTCCTCCTTATGATTATTTCCCCACATTCTCACTTCCCTCCTACCTAGCAAAACTTGAGAGATCTGGAATGGAAGTATCACAAGATGCTGTAATCTGAGCTGCCATCATCCCCCCCAACCCCGCGCACAAGAACTACAAGAGCTTAAGTTACCAACTCTTATAACATCATTATTGGGGGCCTTCAAATATTTTGCCCACAGCCTGGAGAAAGAGGATCTTGTATTAAATGAAGAAGAAAGAAGCTAGAGGTTGCTAACTTTCAATATATTATAGGAAGAAAAAAATTTCTTAAAATATGCTTATACAAAAACGTTCTTAAGAACGTCTAAACAAGTGTTTGCAATGACAGACAGCAACACTTTCTAGTACTTTATACAGCAATAATTTGGACTGGATAATTAAAATTTAACTAACAGTAGCCCTAAATTAATTAAACCACAGAGTTTAAAATTAAGAAACAGGAATTTTACCCTTTGAAAACCAGTTAAACATGTCCTGTTATTGACAAATGTTCAATGAGTCCATTCTGTATTACTCTACTTCATATGCTACTTTGTAACCTTTGAAAGACACACATGCACAAGTTGTTAAAAAATATCGTTACATAAAATATATATTCTCTTGTCAATAGTACAATCCACTGATCTAGAAAAGCAGTGACTAGTTTCTGTAGAAAGCGTTAATGACCAAAACATGACAATTCTGCTGGACATCATCTTTAAAAGACATGCAGCCCATTAAGATTAGAGATCCCATTATGCAACATTTAATTTTGATGCTACCGGTTGGCTGCTCAGCTCGAGATAGAACATTGTACTGAATGGGAAAGTCTACAGTATCTACAGGCTGCATCTTCACTACACAAACTGCAAGTTAACATCTTACGCTAATATAGGAATTGTATATTAGCATTTTTTTCTTAAGAACATCTCTCACACGGTAAATCAACACCATTCTCTACTTACAAAATAAGTCTAATAAATGTATCCGTCTAAAAATAGGCAAATAAAACTTACATATTAAAACAAGATTAGGTTTCATTCTTCAATGGCCTTCTCAACATCTTTCACGTGGAAGAAAAAAGGGTGCTTATACAACGCTCGGAATTGGCCACAGTGAGGACAAATACTGGACTGAAGGATCTGGAAATATAGATTAAAAAAAGATTTTAAACTGCTGTAAAACATAAGGAGATCTTAAAAAGTAAATGAACACATGTTCTTCGCAATCTGATGCTGTGTATGTTTTTTAATAAAATGGGGGAGGAAAATCTATTGTGGGATAAGGCAGCTGTCAAGAACAAAATCAAATTGCTTCTCGGTCTCTTGAAGGCTCAGATTAAGTGAACTATTAAAAAAAAATCAATTAGAGCAGAATTGGGATTCGGCAAAACAAAAAACAGAAATGAAACACACAAAGTGCACCCTCGCACACCAAAATGTACCTTATCTCAGTTCCTTCGGTATTTCTAACCGTGGTATCCACATGCCCCGCTGGCCAGAAGCGGCAGATACTGTTACACAGAGCAGCCTTGGGTCCCTTTCCCCACCAGCTCCCAAACCTCAAGAATCAAAAGTCAAACTATGGGAAAAGCTATAAAACGATTCCCAAACTGAAAAGTGCTTTATTAAAAAACAAAAACAAGGGAAGGGGGGGGGG